AGCAGCAGCAGCAGCAGCAGCAGCAGCGGCAGAGGCAGCCGCACGTACCGACGAGAGGGCAACATCGGAACACGTGTGCGCGACACACACACGTGGTTCCGGAGAGAAGTTTTGGAGAGATCCAAACAAAAGCTCGATCGGAGATCCTGCAGCCTCGCTTCTGGAAGAGTCTTCGGCAGGAGCAGCTCAGCGTGGTGAGAGGAAGATCAGGGGACAGGCAGCAGCAGCAGCAGCGGGAGGAAGCAACAGTCAAAGGGGCCGAGGAGAAGGAACACGCGTGCTGGGAGCACACACACACGTGGAGGCCCGAACGGAACTGTGCTCGCGACCCCGTGATCGATCGGAGATCGAGCAAGGCGGTCGCTAGGTCCAGCAGCAGCAGACGGAGCCGAGGTACCGAGAGCAGGATTGGGTGCAAAGAGCATCTAGAAGATCCTGAAACCTGAACAGAAGATTGACAGACGTCAAAGGAATGGTAGATCATTACTGAGTAGAAACGTTTGAACGTACGTCGGCGGCATGCACATGTTCCGCGCTCAGTTTTTGTTGTTGACTGTTTTGGCGTCTTTCTTAGGAGTGCGACGAGAAAGGACCCTGGCTCTTGCGGTTGAAGGTGGCGGGGAAGTAGGAACAGGGGGTGGCAGTGTCGGGGGTCCGGGGGAACATGGGCTTGAATGGGGGTTGCCTCAGAAAGAGCAAGACGGCGGATGTTTCTCTCTTGGTGTGACCGGTGGCAGTATCGATCAGCAATGCCGCACAGACATTTGCGCGCCGAAATATGCGTGCAACAGCTTTAACCTAACCACTTCGGTGGAAAGCGGATTTCTGTTCGATACGGCGTCGGGAGTGCCGAGGGAGCAGGGCTTGGCCCTTGTGGTTGCAGGTGGCAAGGAAGTAGGAACAGGGGGTGGCAGTGTCGGGGGTCCGGGGGAACATGGGCTTGAATGGGGGTTGACTCAGGAAGAGCAGGACGGCGGGTGTTTCTCTCTTGGTGTGACCGGTGGCAGTATCGATCAGCAATGCCGCACAGACATTTGCGCGCCGAAATATGCGTGCAACAGCTTTAACCTAACCACTTCGGTGGAAAGCGGATTTCTGTTCGATACGGCGTCGGGAGTGCCGAGGGAGCAGGGCTTGGCCCTTGTGGTTGCAGGTGGCAAGGAAGTAGGAACAGGGGGTGGCAGTGTCGGGGGTCTGGGGGAAAACATGGGCTTGAATGGTGGTTGCCTCAGAAAGAGCAAGACGGCGGATGTTTCNGGGGTGGCAGTGTCGGGGGTCCGGGGGAACATGGGCTTGAATGGGGGTTGACTCAGGAAGAGCAAGACGGCGGATGTTTCTCTCTTGGTGTGACCGGTGGCAGTATCGATCAGCAATGCCGCAAAGACGTTTGTGCGCCGAAATATGGGTGCGACAGCTTTAACCTAACCACTTCGGTGGAAAGCGGATTTCTGTTCGATACGGTGTCGGGAGTGCTGAGGGGGGAGGGCTTGGCCCTTGTGGTTGCAGGTGGTAAGGAAGTGGGAACAGGGGGTGGCAGTGTCGGGGGTCTGGGGGAACATGGGCTTGAGTGGGGGTTGCCTCAGAAAGAGCAAGACGGCGGATGTTTCTCTCTTGGTGTGACCGGTGGAAATATCGATCAGCAATGCCGCAGAGACGTTTGCGCGCCGAAATATGCGTGCGACAGCTTTAACCTAACCACTTCGGTGGAAAGCGGATTTCTGTTCGACACGGTGTCGGGAGTGCTGAGGGGGGAGAGCTTGGCCCTTGTGGTTGCAGGTGGCAAGGAAGTAGGAACAGGGGGTGGCAGTGTCGGGGGTCTGGGGGAACATGGGCTTGAATGGGGGTTGCCTCAGAAAGAGCAAGACGGCGGATGTTTCTCTCTTGGTGTGACCGGTGGAAATATCGATCAGCAATGCCGCAGAGACGTTTGCGCGCCGAAATATGCGTGCGACAGCTTTAACCTAACCACTTCGGTGGAAAGCGGATTTCTGTTCGACACGGTGTCGGGAGTGCTGAGGGGGGAGGGCTTGGCCCTTGTGGTTGCAGGTGGCAAGGAAGTAGGAACAGGGGGTGGCAGTGTCGGGGGTCTGGGGGAACATGGGCTTGAATGGGGGTTGCCTCAGAAAGAGCAAGACGGCGGATGTTTCACTCTTGGTGTGACAAGTGGCAATATCGATCAGCAATGCCGCACAGACTTTTGCGCGCCGAAATATGCGTGCGACAGCTTTAACCTAACCACTTCGGTGGAAAGCGGATTTCTGTTCGATACGGTGTCAGGGGTACCAGGGAAGACGGGGCCGACTTTGTTACATTTCGGGTGGATGAGGTTGGGGTTTTGTTCGTTTTTCTCCATCTAAGGTTCGTGCCTAGCGTTCAGCTGTAGTGTTTCGACCAAAGTTTTGTTGACTTCGAGGCAAACATTCCTAGCTATTGGGCATCGAGTTAATTTGGCTTGGCATGACGGCCTTTACGATCGACGTTTTATGTATGTCTGCATTTATCTGCAATTAATTGTCGGAGGGCAAACAAAATAATAATAATATGCTTGCAGATGCTAACCTAGGACGCCTTTGTGCGCCTGATGGATCTGAAATTTCACTGCCGTCGTGCCGGGGCAACGGGGATAGTCGGCGCTCCATCGAGACCGAGACCAAGACCGAGACCGACACCGTCTTCCTTGGCCGCGAGGATGACGGGGGGTCGGTCGTGGCAGCGGCAGCGGCGGTGCTGGTTAGATCATCAGGGCGGGAAGGCAGGGGGCACTGTCGAACGAGAAGGCGATGGAGGTCTGGCTGCTCGAGAAGCCCCTGTTCTCGGCCGGCAACTTCAACGGGAGTGTTTGTACGCCTTTTTTGTATTGGCAGGCATGATATTTTTAACGGTTGTTCAGTTGGCGGGCCTTCAAATTGGTGGTGTTTTTCGTATCGCAATCTATTATATTACTTCCTCTGTTGTATCATAAGCCTGGTCTGTTAGGTTTACACGCCGCCTTAACGGTGTCCGATCTGTTTTTCGTTTTTTTCGTTGGATTCTACGGTGTTTTTTTTTAAAGCTGATGCTTGAACCATGCGACTAAATGGCCGGAAAACTTTGAGTCGGCCCAAAAACGGCCATACTTTGCCCTTTTCCGGGGGGTGGGGTACCTGGGGCATTGAGCCTAACCCCCTCCCCAAAGCTAACCCCGCCCAGACTCAGCCAACCACAATACGTCCCCCATACTAAAACCATATTGATAGTGAACCACAAACTAAATTCAACACATTTTTGGGTCCACACTAAAACCAAGACACTTGGGGATCCCGCACTAAAACCAAGACACTTGCGGGGCAAAAAAACAACAGAGTAGGGCCCGAATCCCCCCCCCTCTACTCAGCGACCCACATCGCGCCCCCCTATACTCAAAGCAGTATAATAGTGGCCCCACACAAAAACTAAGACACTTGGGGGTTCCACCCTAAAACCAAGACACTTGCGGGCAGAAAAAGTGTCTGTTGGTGTCGGTGGGCCCAGCGCACCCTTGGGTGTATCCATACTTGGCCCGGCGGAATAGCCAGCGCAGCCTCCGCTACAATTGCAATGCGGCGGCCCACTGAAAGCTCGCCGCCCTTGGGGCGATGTGGGGGGGGTACTTGGGGGCGTATCCATCGTTTGCATAGGGTGTGGGGGGTGGTAATCACGACTGATCTCACGAATTCTCAAAAAATTCTCAAAAAAAATCTCAAAACAGGCCAAAATGGGCATATTGACCTAATTTTAGTGTAGTCAGCTTTGCATATGTCTTGCCTTTCTAACGCACCCAGCCAAAGGCTAAACGTCAACGTGTAAGTATCTTTACTACTACACGCACATAACAGACCAGACTTACGATACAGAGGACGTATAACACATGCTCATGCAACACGCGAGTATATAGATAGGTTCAAGTATGCCCATACTGTGGTATCCTATACTGTTGTAGGTCATCGGCTCCATTCTCATACCAGCTAGTTACCGGGGTGTATTGGGTTAAGTTTATAGGCAATATACTCCGAGTTTTGATACGCATAGTCTAACACTAGACTACATCTCATAGGATTTCGACTTTTTTCGTCTTCGCAATCCTTTTTCTCCGCTGGGACAGCGTTTTTTCTCGCACTTTCTTCTGCATGGCACGCAGAGGACTCGTTGGTACATTTCCCTTTATGTGTGGAGCTCGCGAGACACCGGTGGTCCGCGTAAGGGCCGCCTGAAGTCGCTGAGACTGACTCTTTTCAGGGGTTGGGAATCCGAACCATAAGAGCCTCCTCGAACGGCATCAAAACTGATACTTTAGTTTTTTTTTTGCCCCGCGCCCCGCGCCCCGCGCCACGCGCCCACGCGCCCACACAGCTGTTGTGATTGTTGTGTACACAACCACCACACAGCAACTGGCGCATGCGTACCCACGGCTGGGACCAAGGCTCTTGATGTTGCTCGTGGGAACACACCACGCTACACAGAAGTCCTCTCGCACAACTTTGGCAGCAGTCATGCAAATTTCAATTTCGAAGTATCGAAAAGTTCAAATACAGAAGTTGTGGTAGTGTAGCAGTCTACAGCTAGATGTGACTGTTGTTGGGCACGTCGAGCGTCTCTTTGATCCGTTATCGGTGCTTGGGGTGAAAATTTCCGCATACCATGGGAATCACGATCACACCAAAAGAGAAAGTGATCAAACGCAGCGGATTACAGCAGTAGGATCTGGAGCAAAGACTCCGCTAGCTACAGTATAGCGGCGGGAGAAAACAAAATACCCCGCACATGATGCAAATTCCAGACAACTATGTATTCGGGCCAGGTTGCACGCCAGCCGACACTACCGGACGTCATGACGACCAACCCTCCATGCGACCGCGATGGCATCGGTTGGCCATGTCCTCCCTGCGTGGCCCCCGGGAGGCACATCACACCCCTCCCGCGGGGGAACCTTGTGTAACTTAGCACATAGTCTAGAGCTCAATTCTATCACACAAATCCTATACAATACACCCCCCCCCCTCCCCATCTGGCGACCAAGACGGACGCCCGCCTGGGGGGGTAGGGTCCCCATGCATTCCACTGGGATGACCCCTTGCGCTCTCGCAGCACGCCGCGTCCCCCCCCCCCCCCCCCA